TTCAACATGAAAAATTCATCCGCATTTATTTTTTGTGTGGAACACAAAAAATCAATGCGGATGAATTTTTCATGTTGATTTTGCGATAGGTCGTGAGAAGAAATATCATAGGCGCTGAAAACATTAGCCTATCCAATGCTGCTAGGCTAGGCCTAGCCTTACCTCGATTTAGGTTCTGTTATCACACATAAAAACGGCCGACATGATATTTTCCGTTGCTAGTATTGACATTTGTGAATATAATATTTCATAGGAAAAAATGATTTGCTGTTTCTATTGCATACTATTAGTTATATAGGCCTAATTACTATAACTTTATTTTGGAAACGACGATTTTGCAGTGTGTTCATAAAATTAACATACTGTACATCCATAATACAATATTAAAACAGAGACGAGACTTTCAATACGATAAAATGTACGTTACACAAGTTGAATAAATCACAGATCCTGTATATCATCATTTAACACTTACAATTTACATTTACAGAAAAGCACAGTTTATATTTTGCGGCCAACTGACCTATACTATTTTGATATTTATAAATAATAATAATCAAATTAATAACATAAGATTTGTACAGGGCTCGCTCATATTCAAATTTAAAGAGCAACAATCTTTTAGTCTGAGAGTGATCTAGCCATCTAGTTCCTTACAAAAACACCCCTAAGTTACAGTAATTGGTAGACTCTGGGGGGAAAAAATTGATATGTTGTAGAACTGATTTTTCTAAGACAGAAAAAAGTTGTTTGACGAAACACTAGGGAACGGTGAACGAGATACAGATTGAATATTTGAAAACTGGGGGCGTAACAGCACATTTTTACACCTTTTCCCCCGGTTTTTAAATATTCAAAAATCTGTATATCATTCATCGTTGCTTAGTTCAAACTACTTTTTTCTGTCTTAGAAAAATCAGTTGTACAACATATCAAAATTGTTAATTCCCTCCGGAGCCTCACTTTAAAAGAATTAGGAATATCAAAGTAACCCAAACCAGTCTGGCATTGTTACTAGACTTGATAATAAAGAGAATTATCAATATATCGGCGGCTCAGTAATGATAATGAATATTTGTTGCATATGAATGAAACAGAATCGCCGAATTGGACGTTTCCAATATATTTCTATTTTGATTATTTTGCGTTATGTTTTTTTTTTTGTTTGTTTGTTTGTTTTTAAACGCAGTCAAAATTCCATTGTCAAGGTACGGTACATCTTTTGTGCTGACGTGCGCCCTCATTTTCCGATTACACACGACAACTTTCCGATTTTCCTACATATTTTTGATTATTTAAAAATGGGGGAAAGAGTGAGGTACGGACCTTTTCCTTACAGCTTTTAAATATTTAAAAAATTGTATCTCACTAACCGCTTACGATTTTTTCGTCGAATATGCTTTTTTGTGTCTTAGAAAAATTAGTTCTATAACATATATAAAAACAAAGAAATTTCCTCCTAAGGATATTAATTACATACTGATATACATATTTAATTAATTTGTTCTGGTCGTCCCATATCAGTTATTTGCAAAAATAACAGGAGCTACTTAAGGGTCTATATGACAGAATTGCCTAATTGAAGTGTGCTTACCATCGAGGGGCTATCTCGGTCTATCGGCGACGATTAAAGAACTGCTTAAAAATAGTAAATTAATATATTACAGTATTTATAATATGAAATTGAATATTAAGTAGTGAAATCATAAAAAATAATCTATAAATATAGTTACATAAAATTCAACTGCTAAAAAGATTAAATTGAATTAACTATACAGGAGGCAGCTAACTGTATTATACAATATTATACACAGGAACGCACATCACGTTAGACCATACGTTAGACACAGAACGCGCCTTCATAGACTAGAAAAAAAAAATCTGAAAAAAATGAGTTAGGGGGAGTGGAATGTTAGAAGCAATCCACATAGCCAGATAATTATTTCCTTTTGGTCACCCTAAGCCCTGTTGACACTTGATTTTACTCCATGTATACAAATGGCGGCCGTTTTTCAAAATGGCCGCCAAATTTGTCTAAAATGTGCATAAAATTGAAACTAAATAAGCTATAGATATGATTTTGCTGTCTAAACTCATAATTTCTAGACAGGCAACAAACTAGACATATAAAAACTACTGTCACTCAAGCCAGAATGGAACATAATTAAAAAATAGGTGTTTATTTGTTTAAAAATAATTGAAAAATATACTTACTTAAAATGTACATAAAATAAGAACGAGTACGGTATATAAACTAGTTTTCTATGTAATCCAGATAGATTTTTGAACAAAAATAGATTTTATTGACTAATTTTATCATTTTTACTGCGCTGAATTCAAAAAAGTTAGGTGCCATTATTTTCCCAAAGTCATCGGCCGCCA